TATATATATATACATATATGTTTGTTTATAGCTATTTACAAGTGTTTCTGATAATATACAATTAAACATACTACTTATACAAATTATCCTAAACATTTTATAATATATTAATATTTAATATATATTTCTGCGACATTGTAGAATTATTTTGGAGAAACATTGATATTGTATATCTCTTAAACGTCTCTGCAATATTACATTGCAACTTGCAATGTTGCAACGTTTCTGAAATATTACTGGAAGCTACGATGCTGTATGGGGTCCTCAACTACGGCGACATACTGTTTGTACGAATTAGCAATAAATCAAGACGTACAAAACAAGCTTCGTCAAGAAATTGATGAAGTTTTGAAAAAACACGGCAAAGTGACTTACAATGCTGTAAACGATATGACGTATCTTCATAAAGTAGTATCTGGTAATTATAGTTTTTTTTTGTGCGTTATAATGTGTAGATCTGTACATATGTGTAATTGCCAGTAATTGCAGATTATTGTTTTTATGCTACTATGTATGCGTTGTGCAGAAACTCTTAGGAAATATCCACCTCTGCCAATGCTGAATTGCATCTACACCAAAGCCTTAGACCTTCCAACAACGAATATTCACATACCGGAAGGAACTTCAGTTACTATATCGGTGCTCGGCATACAGCGAGATCCGGCGATATATCCGGATCCGGATAAGTTTGATCCCGAACGATTTGATGCGGATCAAATAGCGGCTAGGCATCCGTACGCTTACTTACCTTTTGGAGAAGGGCCTCGAGTTTGTATTGGTAAGATCTACTAAAAATAAATAAAAACTGTTTAACAAATATTTACAATTAAAAATTTATAATTAAAAATTATTTAGAATTAAAAACTTTTTCAAAAGTATTTCTTTAATTTATTTGTAAATTTCGAGCTTATGAAGTTGTATATGTATAACACATGTACTCATTCTTTCAAAACAACACGATTTGCAACAATAAAAATTATTAAAGTTTGTGTTATTTTTCAAATATTTAGGTACTCGGTTTGGCTACATGCAGACAAAAGTTGGTATCTTCAATATTTTAGCGAAGTTCAAGGTTACACTTCATCCTCAAACTCCGGTGCCACTCATCATCGATGAGGCACCCGTTATACTTTCGCCTAAAGGCGGTGTACAGTCGGCGTCAATGAATCGTTTTGTAGACGCGGGGAGCTAGGGGTAAGAGAGACGGTATTCCCTAGGAGTAAGTACTGCCAACGGGCGCCGCACTAACTAACTGTAGCAGATTTCGATGAATTGACCAATTACAGTATTTACTGCTAGGGAATACCGTCCCTCTTACCCCTAGCTCCCCGCGTCCACGAAACGATTCATTGACGCCGACTGTACATCTTATAAGTGAGCCACGATAAAATTATCATAGTTTCTAAATCCGCGGTTAAACTGCGTAAAATTCTGCTACTAAGTAATAACATTTTCAATAAGATCAAACTAATAGTGCGCAAAACAAAGTTATGCAACGATCTATCAAAGATAACGCTATCGTCGATTTGCCGAATCATTCTACAAACAGTATCTTTATAAACAGTCGAAGTTTAGAATAAAAAAAATGTATGTTTATGGGAATATCAAAATTATCCTAAAAAAAACAAAGAAAGATCATTACGTAAATTATCTTAAGATCAAAAGAAGTAGCCGGAAAGAAATTTACTAATCAGAAATTTACGTCCATAAGTGATAAATATATAGGATACATTCCAAATGGTCAGGTTTGGTACGACTGCGTTCTTACGTAGTTTGTATGTGTGTATAAAAGATGCTTCGCCGAATTTGTGGCTTCAGTTTTATACCTTCCTCAGAAGTCTTTACACAAACGATATTCTGCTTGAACCGCGTGACAAAACATTAATTTTTTTCTCCAAAACCACAAATAATTTTTGTACAAGTGTTTTTTGTTTTGTACATTATTACGAAAAAAAAGCAAAAATGTTAATTGTGGGAGCAATAACTACTTTTGTCATTGCTTTATGTTTGGTATATATTTATTACAAGTTTGTGGTGTTCAATTTCTGGCGCAAGAGAAGTATATTTTACGTCGAACCCGTTATACCAACAGGTAATCTGACTCCGGTATTAAAAGGAAAACTGTCAATAGGCAAGTAATTCTCCTAAAAAAAAACTATGATATGTAAAATGTAACTATTGGTGCTGGTATAGGGGCACCACCTTTTGATCTCGACAATTTCGAAAATTTTTTTTTTGCATTGCTTTTAATATACTTTTTATACTTCTGGTGCTCGTAACTTGTTGCACACTACTCTATCTTCATTTATTATAGCTGCAGTTTTCTCATCTTTTAAAACATCTGATATAGCCAGTCCAAGTGTGAGTTGCACAGCGAACAGATTTAATTTGATATTTCAATTTTTTGACGTTTTTATCTTTATCATTAATATGTTTTTTTAGAAAGTAACATTTTTGTCAGTTGATAGTGAAAATTTATATTCTTTATCGTTGTTATTGTTGCGGTGTGAAGAGGGTCAGCACGACTCCTCACCGAAACGAAAATACCGGTTCCGTCCCGACTAGAACGAGAGATGAATAGGAATCACAGGTAGAGAAATATAATAACGCAGGCACTTGAACTTTGAGTTGGTTGTTCGTCGTTTTATTAAAAGTCAGCGCGTGGAAATGTCTTCGCTGTAGGATGCATAGACGAAAACGGTGACCGCGTTGCCAGCAGGAGTTGCAAACTCTTGCCGGCTAGCAACAAAAATACCGAGGTGGTAAAGGCACGCACTCAAACAAGAACTTATGGTGTGCGTGTCTCCACTACCTCGATGTTCTTGTTGCTAGCCGGCCAGTTTGCAACCAGAGATGCCAGTTTTAAGACTTTTGCAGCATGCAGCAGCAGGTGGAGGGGATACGCACACAGGCGAACAGCCGTGTCCGTGTGCGCTCGGCGCTTTGGCCAACTTCGAGCAGTAGACGGAGACGGATATATATAACCGCTCTCTGTCTTCCCTTATAGCTATAGCTGTAGCTAAACCGCCAGCCGCGAGAAGCGTACCTCGTTGCTAGCCTGTTTCTCGCGCGTGGCTCGTATGTTCCTTCTCTCTTCCTCCTTTTCTCTCTCTCTCTCTCTCTCTCTC